TTTTTTTTTCTTTTTATGTCTGTTCGTTCCTCCGGTCGTCCATACGTGTGTCTATCTGCCTGTCCACCTGTCAGTCTGTCTGTCTGCCGTCTGAGCGTCTGTCTGTCTCTCCATTTGTCCATCTGTCTGTCTACTGTACGAGTGTCTGCCCACTGTGTCTGTCTGCTGTCTGAGTACCTGTCTGTCTCTCCATTTATCCATCTGTCTGTATGCTTTCTGAAGAGGTTGGGTTTTTGTATGTCGGGAAAGACCTTGACGATACTTGATTACACTGTTTCCTGACCGTCCCATACTCTTCTGACAAATAGAGACTCGAAATCGTCTGTCTTTGCGGCCATCTACCAGCCCGATTGTCTCGCTATTGGTAGGTCTATTTGTAAGTCCTTCTCTAGGTCCGTCAGTTGGTATTTTCTCCATCTGTCCGTTCGTCTGTGCTGCCTTTCTGACTGCATGATGGCGTCTGTTGGAGAACTAACCTAATCAGTAACTGTATCCTCACATTCAAGGTATAGGCACACATGGAAGCACTCCAATATATCAAACTCAGGGTCAGCAAATCGACAAAGGTCACCTCGTCCCTGGGGCCACATACTCCAGCACTAGAGACAGCGCTTGTTCCACTTATGTCTACACCAACGCTGTACCCCAATATCGTACCTTCAACCGCGGCTTATGGGCTCAGTTTGAGGCGAGGATACGAGCGTTCGCTACGCAATGCACGAGCAATGGCGGAAGTTTGTACCTGTTGACAGGTACCTCGTTCCTTCACATTCAAACCACCGCTCCAGGAGTGAACGCACCTCCTGTGGCCCAGTTGGGTCCAGCAGGGAGGCGCAACATGTGTCCAGCGATATCTATTCCAAATTCGATGTGGACCGCTGGCTGTTGTGTGCTTCCAACTGGGGTGCGAAGCTTTGCAGTGTTTGGGAACAACGTACCAAACGCAGCGCAGAGCTTGACTCAGCAAATGCCCGTTGCATCACTAGAAAACATTTTATTGCAAGATGTTGTGCATCACGGCATGGGGGGACAACCGTTCAGCCTCTTTCCCGCATGGCATGGAGCTTGCTCACTATCCCACAATAACGTAGTGATATAAAAAAAATCGCCACGGCAATTGTAGTTGAAATATAGAGCGACTATTTATCTATTCGGAAATAAAACTGAAAAGAAAGTGAAGTAATAAAGTCACACAGACAACAGGAAAGCAAGATTAGGACTTGCCGTGTCGTATTTAGTACACCTCATTCCTTGCTTCATGTCAGAGGCAGTAAACGGGTCATCAAGTAAGTAAGTCACGGTGTTAAAAAATGTTGCTAATATCTATTCCCTGAAATAAATATCTAGAACGTTTCAATTCTCGCACTGATTGAAATTTTTGGGCCAAATTTGATCCAATTGCACATGTCCGACATTTGACCGCTGTGTTACGTCAATGACAATTGAAACTTCATGTTTTCTAAAACACTTTAATTATATACGTCTTTAAACAATTCAGGGTTTTATTCCTTTGATTTACGGGACTCGTCGCGTGGAATAGTCCAGGTCTATTTCCTTTCCTCCTCAAATCTCTACATTCAAGGCGAATTCTTCTCCCCTCGCGAACAGTAATACATCTGAACCCAGCTTGGCAATCTTTCGAGACCTTCTCTTTATCGTTGCATGCTTAAAGGATAGAAAAAAAAAACGCGGTTTAATTGTGATGGTTAAGATCGCGGATGAAAATACAGGAACGATTGTATACATCTCGGCAGTCTATAAACCCTTTACACCCAAACATCAGTATGCATATTCTCCATACTGTTCTCTATATTTTTCCTGAGTAGCTGACAAGGAGAATTTGTTTAGCAATCAAGAGCTTCTAGGTGATCATTTCCTCTATTGTCATGATCATGATCTCAAATGAAAGAGTCAGCAGTATAATTGTCAGACGAAACTAGATGTTTGTCACTCTTAGGGTTAAAATTTTAGTCCTGTTTCTTAACAGAATGATGAGTTTTAAATCCATGTTTGTTTCTAAATACGTGTGACTGAAAAGGTCAAGGGGTCACGTGACCAGACTCCAGCAGTCATGTTCGCCGTTTGCCGTCCACGTTTTATTTTCAGGCACAGCAGTTTCAGGTACTTGAGCTCCCTCAACGCCTTTTCTATTCCTGTTCGAAAGTGCTCACGTATGGCCTATAAGTATAAGTAAGTTGAGGTCTTTTCTTCATAACCAGGAGCCCATTATCCGGAGCTTCAATCTTCCATACTTACCCTCTGAGTCAACCCTGTCCCGTATCTTTTTTATTTATAGAAGCACCTCCCACGGGTTTTTTCGCGGGTGTTTACATAATAGCCAATCATAAGAGAGCTACACATGCAGGCCGCACGAACGTATTTCAATAAAGGTGAAAAGCGTGGAAATTAACCATTTTTTTCCGGGTAATGGGCTCCTGTCCTAACCAATCCGTTTGGAGTGCTGGGAAACCAATCTTTTAGCCACAGTCTGTGTTTGAAATGAAGGACCTCCATTTTTTGTGTAATTCAAGATGGCGGCGAACATGTTTTTTTTTTCAGTCGAAGGCCGACATCGATCTAAAAAACTAAAAGTCTCAAAACTTTTAACTTCTGACCACCAATTGCTAACTGGTTTTGTGTTTGCGGTAATCACACCAAACGGGGATCTAAAACTCTCTAAAAGCATCGTTTACGATACTTCGTAAAGGCACATCGCTGGAACTCTTTTCACCTAGATGAAAAAAAAAAAAAAACAGTGAATAGCAAATTAAAATTGTTATAAATTATATATATATATATATATATATATATGTCCATTGACATCATTTTGTGAGCAATTTGTTGTCTTCTTTCGCTCTGTGGAAGAGGAAAAGTTAAGGACCGTTCGTTATACATCTTATCGCCAAGGGAGGGGGGAAGGTGGGTTCCAGGACCTTTAATGGTCTTTTGCCCTCCCTCCTCCCCTTATTGGTGGTCAGTTTTCAGTTTTCTACATTCCCCCCCTTAGACACGATATGAATAAAACGTAAGTAGTAAACTGGTGTAGGTGCACCAAAATTACCATAAACGTCTTAATCTGTAAACTCCCAAATTCTCATTAGTAATTCTCCTTACTGTCTGCCACATAGTTTTTGCGATGTTACTTTGGAGAGTTTGGTGTTGGATCAACTAATAATCCCCTAATAAATATTTTTCTTTATTCCCATTACCTGTTTCCTTGATGTTGTATTGATATTGTAAGGAGAAGTTTTATCTTGGTCACTCATGGTAGTTAAAGGGTCAAAAGCCCTTCAGAAATTCCACGATGATTACCAGAGGT